GCTTAAGTCGCCCCATCTTGTGTAAAGTCGTCTCGCACGAGCGTGCACATGGGGCTAGCGCACACAAGCTCTTAAGAACATGTAGCTGGAAGTCATCTTAACCCGGCAAGCACATGGGGATTCCGAAGTAAAGTGTGGGAGCATGTTGTGTGGCGACATTGAAAACCTAACGAAAACGCCAAGCCCTATTCCTGATTTGCATGGATGTGTTTCTCAAAAGTCGTCTCGTGCGAGCGTGTAAATGGGGATTCCGCATACAAGCTCGGGAGTAGTTTACACACCGTCAGCCGTGAACACCCACCTGTGCACACCCGAAGGATGCAAACAGTAGCGAGGGGCACGGTTTGCAACCATGATCAGAACAAAGCTCCGTGAAACCCAGCGTGTGCATGCAGTTTCCGCTCGTTTCGAGGCTTGGATAGCTCCCACTAGAACGGGGCGTGCACCTGCAGTTTCCGTTTGTTTCAGTGCACGTTTGCTTCACTTTGTGCGAAGAGTCTCGTGCCACGCGCAGATTTGACATGTCGGGCTGTCTCGTTTATAACCGGCGTGCAGTTGCGGATCCCGGTCTGTGGGTCGACTTTGTCCGGATGGGTCGACTTCGCACGAATCTGGGCGTGAGCTTGGGGAAGGCCGACTTCACACAACCTGGGTCGACTTAAGCCCAGCGCTTGTAATATAGAGCGTAAAGGTCATCGACGATTACACATGTTATTACAATATGGATTGTGAACTGCCCCTGCGTCTATATCTACACTGTAATACATGTTTCAAACATTTTTGTGTGTGTGTGTGTTCGTAGGGGCAGTACTCAATCCATAGATGCAGGCACGTATGTACGTAATACACACGCATATATATATATATATATATATATATATATGCGTGTGTGTATGTACATATGTATTAGCATAATACAACATCTTATTTTGTATGATATTTTGTTATATACTGCATAAAAGCTTCACAGTATCACATATTGTGTTATATTATCTTCCCATCAAGCACATTATATTGATACTAGCTTTATTATTGTATCATTTTATATGTTGAGCCGAATGCCAGAGTAGAGCTGTACCCTGACGGGAGTATCGTGCTGCACACTGCATCTTGTTGTCCTTGAGAACAGAACCCTAAACCCACGGCAAACCAATCAGTAGACCGATCAAGAAGCCACACCCGAACATGGGCTATTGCTTGCCTCTTGCCGGGGGTACCTAATATCTGTTTTATAACTAATTCAAAATAAGTATCTTAGTGTCTTTGTTTCAATTCAACCTAAACCACGATACCGCATGACCTTGGGTCGGGAAGCTCTAGGAATCGTGAGTATGATAAGCAGAACGCTATAGTCTGCCTGGGCACTGAGAACAGCAGCCAAGCCGCTGTTGTAACCCGGCCTGCCCGAAAGACCCTTCTGAGTGTGGATGTGGAGCGTTGCCTAACAGCGCGGAAGTGCTGCTACTGTTATTGGACAGTACTGCTGTTCGGATCACGAGGAAAGCTCAGATCACGGAAGAAAGCTGTTGCTGGGCCCCCTGGAGTGGGATGAGGCAGCAGTGACCCGGAGTATGAGCAAGGACGATTGGAAGAGCTCAGATCACGGAGGGAAGCTGTTGCTGGGTCCCCTGGAGTGGGATGTGGCAGCAGTGACCCGGAGTATGAGCAAGGACGATTGGAGGAGCTCAGATCACGGAGGGAAGCTGTTGCTGGGTCCCCTGGAGTGGGATGGGGCAGCAGTGACCCGGAGTATGAGCAAGGACGATTGGAGGAGCTCAGATCACGGAGGGAAGCTGTTGCTGGGTCCCCTGGAGTGGGATGGGGCAGCAGTGACCCGGAGTATGAGCAAGGACGATTGGAGGAGCTCAGATCACGGAGGGAAGCTGTTGCTGGGTCCCCTGGAGTGGGATGGGGCAGCAGTGACCCGGAGTATGAGCAAGGACGATTGAAAGAGCGGCAAAGTTCAGCGACCAATCTCTGGGAGACTGAAAGCAGCAGTCGAAATATTCATGTTCGGCTTCATAATCAAGCCAATAACTTATCCATTCTCAAGCTGGGCAAAGTTCAGCGACGAATCTCTGGGACATTGGAGAGCAGCAGTCGAAATATCCGTTTCCGGCTTTATAATCGAGCCAATAACTTGTTTCCATTTTGACGCTGGGGTCGTCGTTTCTGAGACTCTCTTTTAACGGGAGAAAGAAAACATGAGAGAGAGGAGGCAGCTGCAGTATGCGTATCAGTATAATTACTTCCTGAGAGAGGAAACTGTACACACAGGAAAGCATTGAATCGGTTAGCTGAGTACGTCTCTGCAAAGCATCGCCACCAAGCTGTGCAGCCTGATTCGGTGAATGCAACTTTGGCGCGCCCGCGTGCCATTTCATGGCTCATTTCTTTCCCTTGAAGCTTCTCTGGGTGGGTGCACGTTCGACACCCAGCAAAGCACGCGAAGAGGCTTTCGAATTACTGCGCAAAGCTGTTCACTTGAGGCGCTGGGCAGACTTCTTGTCTAACGCTCAGACACGAGACTGCGAAAAGACGAGTCTTAAGACAGCTGTTCACTTGAGGCTCTTGGCCAGCGTCTCGTCTGACGCTCAAACACGAGACTGCGAAAAGACGAGTTTTATTGACACCTGAAATTCAGGCCATGGACGTGGCCGTTCAGACGGTCGGAAAGGCAAGTGGCCAAGTAGCCTCACTCGCTGCGAACAATGACAATTCCAGTTGAATTGAGGCTCGGACTGTGCCAAGAGGCACTCTGGCCAAACTCGACAAGGCCGTCGTGATCTCAACCGTCCTAGTTAGTGGCCACCAAATCCATGAACGATTCCAGTTCAAGTGAGGCTCGACCGAAAAGCAGAAAGGCTGTCGTCATCTCAGCCGTCCAGTTGCTCGCCACGCTGCGTCCTCCATTTTTCCGGTGAAGTAATTTTGTACTGAGCAGGTGCGCAGCAAGTGGCTGACGGGCGCCATACCCCCAGCGCACCACACCTTGCATTTTCCACGTAAGCAATGTTGCTTCCAAGGTCCCTGCTGCCTTCGCGAAAGGGCTTCCCGTGGGCACCTCAATTCCCTCACAGCACAGGGAGTTAGCTTGGAACTGCTTCCGCAGGTTCCTGCTCCGCTGACACCCACAGTGCCGGACCGAGGAGAGAGAAACACAGCGAGAGTGTGACAAAGACAAGAACAATCCACAGCTATGCTGGCTAAGCATCAGGTCTTTGTCCTGACCGCTGGCCGCTCGGTACCGGCTCGGTCCTTGATCGTCTCTCTACCTCCATCCTAATTTTTCGAAGATGGCAAGTTGAGGTGGAGCCTGATCATCCACCGCCAGGATGGGTTGGCAGCTCAGCGAAAACAAGAATCAAATGCTCCATTCCAGAAAGCATTCTCGCAGGAGCCGACGGAGGATGGCTCTGCGCTCCCAAGCGAGGTGCAGGCAGCTGCCCTTGCCTCAACTCTTAAACATTTTCTCAGATCCCAAATCCTCGCAGGATGGCGATTTGATCCCGAGCTGGGATGATGATCTGCGAGAGATGGAGGCAGCTGTCTTGGGTACCCGAACTCTTAAACATTTTCTCAGATCCCAAATCCTCGCAGGATGGCGATGGGGTGCCCAACGACCATGAGCTGCAAGAGCCGGTGAAGGCAGCTTTCCTTCGTCCCTAACTACAAACATTTTCTCAGATCCCAAATCCTCGCAGGATGGCGATGGGGTGCCCAACGACCATGAGCTGCAAAAGCAGGTGAAGGCAGCTTTCCTTCGTCCCTAACTTCAAACATTTTCTCACATCCCAAATCCTCGCAGGATGGCGATGGATTCCCCAACGACGAAGAGCTGCAAGAGCCGGTGAAGGCATCTTCTTTCGTCCCTAACTTCAAACATTTTCTCAGATCCCAAATCCTCGCAGGATGGCGATGGATTCTTCAACGACGATGAGCTGCAAGAGCCCGTGAAGGCAGCTTTCCTTCGTCCCTAACTCCTAAACATTTTCTCACATCCCAAATCCTCGCAGGATGGCGATGGATTCTTCAACGAGGATGAGTTCCGAAAGCGGGTGGAGGCACCTTGCGCCTGCAAACTTTCCTTAAACTCCGAAACAAACACCGCCAGGAGGCGAGCATGCTCGACATGGACGACCTCGAAGACCTGATGTGACGGCGTCAGCAGCAACACAAAGCACAGCACCAGCACCAGCACGAGCACCGGCCTCAGCACGAGCACCAGCACCAGCACTAGCACCAGCCTCAGCACGAGCACCAGCACCAGCACTAGCACCAGCCTCAAGCAGCACCAACAGCCACAGCTTTAAGCACCGAGAGCCGTAGCAGCACGAGCACTAGCGTTTTCACTTGACTGAGGGAGTGGGTTTCAAAACGTGAGCTGCTTGGGTGGTTGTCGTCGTCATCGCTGTCCTCGTCGTCCTCGTCGTGGTCGTCGTCGTCGTGGTCGTCGTGGTCGTCGTTGTCTTGGTTGAACCTTCGCCTAAACCTTGAACAAAGCCGGATTGCCAAATAGACCCTAAAGGTCCATGCCACTTAGGGGTTTAGGGGTTTAGGGGTTTAGGGGTTTAGGAGTTTAGGGGTTTAGGGTTTTAAGGGTTTAGGGGTTTAGAGTTTAGGGTTTACTTCAGATTTACATATGTAGGAAATCTCGCTGGATTGGAACCCGATAAGGCTCTGCTAACCCATATAAACTCCTACAAGACATACTCCGAAATCCCCCAAACCCCACATCCTAGAACCCCCTACATTCACCCCTGACTCCGAAAGCACCAAACATTCAGCCCCAAAGCCGTAAACCCCTTACCCTCCCGAAGCCTGAAAGTAAAGCCCCCCAAAGCCCTAAACTTTTTTGGAAAGCCCTAAACCCTAAACCCCTAAACCCTAAACCCCTAAACCCCTAAACCCTAAACCCCTAAACCCTAAACCCTAGCCCTAAACCCCTAAACCCCTAAACCCTAAACCCTAAAGTCTGGGTAACCATGGCTCCCACCAACCTCCTTCGCCAGCAGTTTGCAGACCAACTGGGCACCTTTTTCAGCCAGTGTCTTTCAATTTTATCAGTATTAAGGTTTAGGGTTCAAAAGGGTTTAGGGTTTAGGGTTTAGGGTTTAGGATTTAGGGTTTAGGGGTTTGGCGCTTTTTAGGGCTGCGTACTTGGCAGATCATGGGACTTAGTAAGTCAGGTTACAAGCACCTTAATTGGAGTCAAAAGAAATTGTAGCTCTAACTATCCTATTCATAACCCTAGTTACGAAGTCCGATGATCCTGAAAGTATGGGTCTTTAGGCTTCAAAGTCGTGGAGAGAACCCAATTGTGATCTTTGAACCTTTACAAGACCCTAAACCCTAAACCCTAACCAGAACAGTGGCATCGACGGGTTTTGCAGGGCTGTCCAGGGTTTCATAGGAGCTCATGGAGCTTTCTGTGTTTTTTGCTTTTTAGGGTTTAGGGTTAATTTTTCGAGGGGAAGGCTTTGGAAAGGCTTATAAGAGTACTTTGAGGATCATGGACCATGGGATCCTTAGTAATTAGGGCGATAAGTTATGTAACTAGAGTTACAAACACTTGTAGCTCCAATGGGTCTACTTACGACCTTACCTTCTAGGTCCCATGATCCTCCAAGAACCCTAAACCCTTCTTGTACCCCTATAGGTCCCTTGAGGGGGCGCTTAAGCCCTTGCGAGTCGGAGTCCCATGATCCTAGGCCCTGAAGGGCTTCTGAAAGGGTTCCTTTTCTACGGTTGATGATATAAATCCTGCAATACCTTAAGGACCCCAAACTATGGGAATTGTGGTATATTCCTTATTACGAGGAATGCAGGATTTATATCATCAACCGTATCACCTGAATTTAATAGGGACCCCGAACAGGACAAAAGGGCATTCCTGAGGAACCTAGTTAAAAGGCGGTTTTTACTCTTTTGCTCCAGGATTTAGGTGTACCAGAACCATCACAGTTCGTATATGGGGCCTTAACAATTCTTGGATAATTTGTGAACCGCTCCTAAACATTAAACTTTTAGCCTCCTTGTTATAGTTCAAACAGAAACCCTAAAAGTTAAAGTCTAAAGAGCCAACCAGAAGAACGCCAAGAGTTAGAATACGGTTTTGGGAGTAATGAACCTGAAGCAAGCCCATGATCAGGACTCTCTCCTTCAATAACCGGGCCCAAAAAAGTTTGAACTTTCTAAACTAGACCACATATATAAGGCCAAAAAGTTTAAAGTTCCCCCATTGGCTATCTAAGAGGAGCTCTAAGGGTGGTACGGCCAGGCATTCCAAAACCCTTCGTCAAAACTGTACGAACGAAGGAACCCTAGGTTGGGATCCCCCACATAGACTCCTTGTAATTACAGTAGAAGCCAGAAAGTTGGAATATCATTATCGTATCCCCTTTAAGGTAAATTATAGGGGATCCTACCATTAATCCATATTCCAACTTTCTGGAGTTCCCTTTATTTATACAATACCGATGCGGGTACTTCCAGCCTTGCGCCCTTCTTAAAGGATCGGTAACTATACTTCTAATTACTTATAACCCCAATTTGGGTACTCCCAGCCTTACTTACTAAGTCTCCTGATCCTCCAAGTAGGGTCCTTGTGTTTTAGTGTTTCTCTGGACTATACTGAAGTTAGAACCCTAGCAAAAATTATGATTGTAGCTGTTTCTTAGGGATTATAATAACCAAAAATTGAAAAAGATTTCTAAGCACCCCTAAGTGGAGGCCATACCATCCCGAAGGCTCCACCAAACCATGGCCCAAGCCCGACCGTGAACCAAAAGGGGCCTGAGTAATCACAACTGGTCTTGGGTCTCCTTGGCTGACTTCTGAACCCCTCCCAAAAGTTAAACTTTTGGCTTCCTCATTATAGTTCATATAGAAGAAAGTTAAAGTCTAAGCCAATCAGAAGAACGCACAGTCTCCGTAACAAAACAATCATAGTAATGGGGAGCCAAAGCCAAGATTACTGGCAATTATTTTCGAACCCTGAGCCCTAAAACCAGATAATGACCGGCATCGAAGGCACAGGAGGACAGGTAAGCGGCTGTAGTACCCAGAGCCACCATCGCGGACATACCAAGCTTTCCTCGGGACTGCAACACGAAACCCTACAACTTAGAACCGACACCCGGAACCAACAACCCGTAAAGAAGGCCTCAAATAATCTTAAGCCCTTAGAAGAACACTAATTAACCCCAAGACTGGTCGAAACCATAACTCCGAACATTTAGTGAACAGAGGCGTCCTGCCCGGACCTTCAACTCCAGGTTCTGTGAACATGTTAAGCGGAGCTGGCAGGATTTTTACAAGGGGTTTAGAAAGCGATATCTACTCACAGGCTAGGTTCCTGAGTAGCCCCATAACAGTGAGGACACCCTTTTTTTCCCTACTCTTCGGTTTTAAGTACTTGGACACCGAAACAAAAAGGGCAAAGGGGTACTGCTCAGGAACCTAGCAGGGTGATCAACATAAACTCCGGAGCTTGAGCTTCGAAGGGGGGGGCTGGGTTCTTCAGGCTCGTGCTGCTGAAACCCTAAACCCTGCAAAACCGCGAACCTCAAAACCTAAACCCTAAACTCCAAGCCTTAAAGCCTCAACCCTATACACCCTCAATCTGAAATAACCTAAAACCCAAACCCTAAACCCCTAAACCCTAAACTCCAAACCCTAAACCCTAAAACTCAAACACTAAAAGGTAGACAGTTTGCACACCCAGGCAGCTCGAAACACTCGAGTGTAGAGGGTGATTGTCAGGACCCCACGGGTAGTTCTCCATATTCTTTTCCAGGGTTTGGGGTGTAGGGTTTAGTGTTTGGGGTTTGGGGTTTAGGGTTTGGGGTTTAGGGTTCGGGGGCTTGAGGATGTAAGGTATATGGTTGTATAAGGGACACTACAGGGTTCTTGCAAAGTCTTAATTCAGAGTTCTATACCCAGAGACTCCAGTACCCCGTAATTGAGGAATATACATTAAAGTATAGTAGGACCCCTAATATGATTTAAAGAATATTCCTCAAGTAAGGGCTACCCCAAGTTTCCATGAACTACCCTGGTTCTTTCAAAGGAAACCACTACTTTTACCCATCCGTCCATTCTTTAATTGGCGGGCTCTACAAACACAGCATGCAATGCACACCATCATCTTCAACAGGATCGCGAAAGGTCGGAAGCAGGCAGGTACTTGGAGGATCATGGGACTTAGTGACTAGGGTTATAAGTACCCTAATTGGGGTTATAAGTAAGTATAACTATAGTTACCCTGTTTATAACCCCAAAATACTAACTCCCATGATCCTCTAAGTTGCAGTTAAAAGATGCTTGGGGCTCGGGGCTCCCTTTTATAGGATCCTTAAGGGAGGGTGGTTCAAGGGGGGAGGGTATAAGGAATCCTTAGGGGACTGTAAGGGAACCTTAGGGAGTACTAGGGAGAATTAGGGATCACTAGGCTATATACCCCCGTTGGACCCCCCTCCCTTAAGGATACTATAACCCTTATTGAGCACTCATAATAAGGAATCACAACGAAGAATCTTGGTAACCATTTAATGGGAGTTTCCGAAAATTAGGGGCACCTTATTTTGGGGTCCTTGTAATGAGGATCCTCCTATTTGGGGTACTATATTAGGGTCCCCTATTTGCGGAAACTCCCGTTTCGGCTTCTATATCATGTCAAGACCCCAACTTTGCAGTCCTGTGCCTCTGAATACTACTTGGAGGATCATCTACCTCCTTCACAAGCCTAGTTACATAAGTCCCGTGACCCTCTAAGTAGCCTAAACAAGTTGGAACCACCCTGCAAATCCACCTTCAATAAGCAACTTGAAACCACACCCTAAACCCTGAAAACCTAAACCAGCCTACACCCTAATCCCTCCTAAACCCCTCAACCGTAAAATGCAGACATAGCAGCGGTGCTTGAGGCCCTCGAAGGTTTCACGATAGAAAACCCCGCCACTGACGAACTGCACCGGCGTTGCCAACAGGAACATGGCAATACCAGCCTCAGCCACAGTATAATAGGGAATACTGTCTTTCGGATTCCTTATAAAAACTGTAATAGTATATGAGCCAATAGAGAGTACCACTGGGAATACTATGTTTGGGGCTCCTGATTGTAGCCATAATAAAATAATAGGGTCCCCAAGTAGTTACCGAAACTATCTTTGGGGTTCCTTATTATAGCAATAACAGTATAACAGGGACCTAAATAATTACCAATACCGTCTGTGGGTTTCCTTCTTATAACTATAGAGTACTATCTTTGGGGCTCCTTATTTTCACTCTAGCTAGGATGCCCAGAAACCTAGGAATAAGAAGGGCTCCCTTTTTGGTATTGGGTACCTGTATGAGGAACCTAAGACTGCAAAAGGGAATGAGGGTACTACTGGGCATCTTAGATAATAGAGCTTGGCCAAAATTGCCATGCCCAGCCTTAGCCCAAAGAGTAACAAGTCCTCAGAGAGATGTGGGAATTTCCGAATGTAGTGGACCCTAATATAGTACCCTAAATAGTAGGATCCTTGTGATAAGGACACCAATAAAAGGTACCCCTAATTTTCGTAAACTCCCATGTTGGAGGGTTGAGGGTTTAGGGCTTAGCTTGTGTAGAGGTTGCCTGGTGTTTCTCATGGGGTTCTTAATATAGTCCTAATAATTTGAATAGTAGGGTTTTGTGCTATATTATTCTATAAATACAATAATGAACCACCAAAATCTTATAGGTAATAGTTATGGCTTCTATAATCTGGGGTTCTGCCATCCTTTACCGAAGAGCTCTAGCACAGCCCAAGAAGGAATGGGCTTCCAGTGCTTCCAGGAAAGGTTCCTCGCTGCGGTTTCTTGTGTATTCAGCAGCCTCAGCCCAAAAAGTAACCCTTAAGGTGCCACGTGCTCAGTAGGGTTGTGGGCGCGGAAAGTGCATTCAGAGACATTCAGAATGCAGTGTTTGGAATATGCAGTAGTGTTTGGTTCATAGAGCCCTACTAGCCACTAGATCGACACTTCAGGGGGTTGGACCCCCAAACCCTAAACCGCTGAAACAACTTTTCGACTGGGGGGCGATGTCGATGCCATTCAGCATCAGGTAGGGTTTCAGCGCCGGCATGGGGGCGACCACCCACATCAGGAGCCTGCAGCTACTGCAATAGCAGGGCCTGGATACCCAGACCCCCCAACACAATCCAACAAGTAGATCCCTTAATGGGGTTCCGATAAAGTAGCCATGATAGTATAGGGCCCCAATTAGGGGATCTACTTTCCTAATCTCCCTTGGGCCTGAATACCTAGTAATTCATGTAAGTCCATCGGGCTCCTATTCTAGGATGCCCACTAACCTAGGAGTAAAAAGGGCACCCTTTTTGGTATTGGGTACGTCTATAAGGAACCCAGGACTACAAAAAGGGAAAGAGGGTACTACTAGGTATATTTACATCTAATATCATATCATTAGTTCACAATGTACTGCCAGCTACGACCCTGATTCTACACGGTTTAAAACATCCCAGAGCTCTGGGTGATGTGAGAGGCTCTCGTGCCGCATTTAGGGCTCTTGTTGCTAAAGATCTTGATGCTTAGTGTCCTGAAATGTACTTTGAGGATCAGGGATCTTGTAAGCATTCGGATTATGAGTAGTTATAACTATAGCTGCATTATTTATATCAAGCCCTAGTTACTAAGACTAAGAATGTCCCATGTCCTGTCGGGACTGCATGAAGAGGTTCCCTGGTCTTAAATTAGATCCTCATGAACCCTAACCCTGCACCCCTATAGTCCCCTAGACCCAAGAGTAACCAAGGAATGAAAAGGGTGCCCGTTTCGGGGTAAAGGGGCTTATAAGGGAACCTGAACCCTAAAAAATGGGATAAGGGCCTATTGTAGGTCCTAGTCCCTAAACTCTAAACCCTCTGAAACCCCTAACCCTGGGTTGAAGGTTGGAGGCGGCAGCCCGATCCCCTGAAACGGAAGCCATCATGCGCAATTTCCGTGAGGGTTCAAATGATACCCAAGTTTCCCTATTACAATAAGTATAGTAATTATAGTATAATGGGCCCCCCAAGCCCCATTCTAATGATTCAGGCCCCTAAATTAGTCAATCTAGTATTGTTCTGAGCCCGAATTACCATGCAACTAGGGTTTTCAAGGCGGCAGCTATGGGTATAACTTCTAATACCTCCAACCAGGGCACTTGTAACATTACTTACTAAGTCCCAGGATCCTCCAAGTATACCCTACAGCCCAAACTTTACACTCAAACCCTATACTCTAACATATCCCAAACCCTATACCCAAACCCTATGCTCTATGACCTCAACCGTAGAATCCCAAACCCTTAAGCGCCCTTAGCCTTAGAGGCATAGCAACCATAGTAAATAGTTCTTTAACTTCCCACGAACCCTAAGGAACTCCAGAAACCTAAAGCCATGCACCGCAAACCCTATACCCTAAACCCCATACCCTAAATCCACCTAAATCCTAAACCCTGAAGCCCGAACCAGACGCAAACCCTGTAATTTTCCTGAACCCCATATCCTAAATCCACCTATATCCTAAACCCTGAAGCCCAAACCGGCCGCAAACCCTATCATTATCCTAAACCCCATGCACTAAGTCCATCAACATCCGCAACCCAGACCCCCGGGAGGATCCAAAACGTAGTTCCCTTAATGGGGGTTCCTATAAAGTACCCTTAGTAGTATAGGGCACCAAATTAGGGGATCTACCTTCTAGATCCTCCAAAGGGGTTCCGGGCAACCCTAAACCGAAACCTGGTTGCCCGTCTGGGGTTTTTGAAAGCGATAGGGTTTGGTTTTGCAGAGGTTACGGGTTTAAAGCTTTGTTGGGGCTTGAAGCGGAGTCATGCAAAGCCCGGACCGACTTCGCCCAACTCGGACGATCTCAACCCCAAACCCTAAACCCAGACCTGCCCACAAAAATAAATTCCTAAACCCTAACCCCTAAAGGATCCCATAAAGGAGCCCTTTAAGGAACCCTACTAAGTCCCATGATCCTTTAAAGGGGCTTTGGGCAACCCTAAAGCCGCGGCACACGATGGGCAAAGTGAGTACGAAGGCTCGCAGGAACGAGCGGCGCCTCGGATCGCAGCCGATCTTTCGGGTTTTCAGGTCTTTTTTGGGGGGTTTCGGGTTCTGGTGACTATAACGGGTTAAGGCTCTAGGGTTCCTTTAAAGGGGACTATAAGGGTGACTATAAGGGATCTACAAGAGTACTAAAGGGGCTTTCGATTTTGTTTAGTTGCTTTTTTTCTACTCTGTCTTTGAAAGTTGGGTGATTAGGGCTTGGTTTAATGTGGTTTTGCGTTTTTCTAGATTGGGTTTTGGGGCTCAGGGTTTTAGGGCTTTAGACGCGCTGCTCTTTGCGCTTACTGTATACAGACGTTAAGTGTTTTAAGACTTGTAGGGTTGAGGACGGTTTAAGTTCAGGCTCTAGGGCTTAGAACATACAGCTTAGGGCTTTGGTGGCCTTTGGGTTTAGGTCTCAGGGTTTAGGGTATATGTAGGGTTTCAGATGTAGGTTTCACGGTGTAGGGTTTACGGCTTAGGGTTTTCGGTTTTAGGGAAAACCTACCTGTGGATCCAGTAACACATGTACTGCTTTAAACCTCGCACCCTAAAGTAACTTTTGGGTCCTAACCCCTGTTTTGATGAGCTGTTGCCGTGTAACACCCGCTGTGCTCAAGGTCTGTCGGGCTTTCGAAACGTAGTGGAACCATCGCAACATGCTTCTCGGGCCTTTCCAAAGCCCTCCCTGAACAGCCAAATTTCGATGTTCTTGCCCCTAAACCCTAAACCCTAAACCCGGAAGAACTAGCACATGACATCCCTAGAGACATCATGGTGGGAGTTTCCGAAAATAGGGGACCCTAACATAGTGCCCTAAATGGTAGGATCCTTATCAAAAGGACCCCAACCTAAGGTACCCCTAATTTTCGGAAATCCCAAGTGTCGGTTTAGCTTGAAGCCCGCAACAAGCTGCGTCCCCCCGCCGACTAAAAGAATTCCGTTCACCATGCCTAGAGACTCCTTTATCCCTTCATTAAGGAATATACCTTAAATCATATTAGGCATTCCTTAATTAAGGGGTATTGGAGTCTCTGGGTGATCGGGCCAGTCGCATAAACACTGCCTCTGAATGTATGCAGCCCTAACCCACGACCTATCTTAGCCTATAGAATGTTAGGATACCCTTCTGGTTCTCTGTTATTGTTGATCCTTTTTGGGGTCTGCGTTATGGTTGTGGACGGCGGTGTAGTGTAGGTCTTAATGAACAGAAGTGGTAATATTCCCTTGCAGTCCCGATTAAACTATACATACATACATACATACATACATACACATATATATAGATAGATAGTGTATGCTGTGTATATATCTATATATATATATATATATATATAAACGTATCTGTTGGTGTACTATATATACACATAACTATATGTGTATATATATATATAATCAACTGGAGCAGCTTTTTGGGTGTGGGGTCTTGGGGCCATGAAGAATATTCCAATTTTGCTTAGGGCCCCAAAGAGCACATAAGCAAAAATGAGGACAGGGATATCCCACATAAACCCCCTTACAATGAAGCCCAATCGGATAGGGATATCCTCATACAAAACGCCTATGCTTATGTCCTTGTTGGGCCCCTAAACTATTACAGTAGAAGCCAGGAGGTCGGAACATCATTATCCTCATGCCTATAAGGTAAGGTTGAAGGAATCCCAGCACTAAACATCCTAAATCCATGCTCCAACTTTCTTTGATTCCCTAAATTACCCTAAGGCCCCATAGTAGTTCCTTGTTGTGGTTCATATATAGAGTCCCAGTTGGTAATCCCCAAAAAAGAACTACTATGGGGCCTTAGGATATTAATGTCGGGCAAGGAGCCAGCCGACGGCTTCCGAGGCCCGGCGTGCCTTGCGGCGCCGCGGCTGTTGAGGCTTTAGATGGGCCTAGGGTTAAGGGGGTTAAGGGCCCCTGTAAGGGATCTACAGCGGTACTATAAGGGTTTAGGGTTTAGGGTCGAGGGTTTCGATGCTAAAGGGTATGGCTTAAGGTTTGTAGGGTTTCGGGCTGTATCTTGGGTTTAGGGTTTCGAGTTCAATAGGAAGGTTTTATGGGGTGGAGGTAGGGCTCTGTAGAGTTCAGGGTTCAGTGTTCCGGGCTTGAGTTTTTCAGGGTTTGGTCTGGGTCTTTATCTGGGCTTTTAAGTAACTTGGGAGAAAAAGTATAGACTTTTATTTCCTAATGGTTCCTTTGAGAAAAAGGTTTTAAAGTATGGTACTCCAAAGCCCAGTTATAATGGTGTTTACAAGACATTTCGGTGGAACAATGCTAGAGCCCAACGTGCAGTACATTATAGAACGTATGGGTAGTTGTCAACATTGCGGCCCCTTTCTGGGTACCCTAAATATTAGGTGCCGTATTAGAACAAGAACTCAAAAAGGGACCCTAATTTTGACAACCACCCAGATGACGGATGAGTACTAGCAGTGCCCCAGTCTTTTTCCCTTCCAGGAAGTAGGGCCATGATGTTCGCGCAACCCTAAACCCAAGCCCCGGAATGCTAAACCCTACACCCCCAACCCTGAATCCCCAAAGCCCTAGACACGAAAAGTTTAGGGTTTATAGGGTTTAAGGTTTATAGGGTTTAGGGTTTAGACACGAAACCAAGGACCTTGACCATAAACCTCAAGCCCAAGTCTCTGGCTTCTAACGCTTACTTCCTAAAGGGTCATGGGACTTAGTAACTAAGGTTATTATTAGAGTAACTACGCTTATAACTACTTATAACCCCAATAAAGGTACTTATAACCATACTTACTAAGGCTCATGATCCTCCAAGCTTGGTTTCCGAAGGAAGCCCAAACTTCAAAGAGTTAGGGTTTGGGGGGCCCTGGGCCCCTTTAAGGATTTAAGGGATCTATAAGGGATCACTATGAAGGGTCCCGGTAAGGGAGCAATAGGGGTACTACAAGGGTTTAGGGATTTAGGGTTTAGGGGTTTGGGATTTTGGGGTTTAGGGGTTTAGGGTTTGTGGGTTGAGGGGTTTATGGATTTAGAGTTTAGGGTTTTGGGGTTGAGGGTATTTAGGTCCGATGAGGTTCTCTAAGCATAAGTCGATGCGTCTCGCACTTGCCTGTTTCGCAAAAACTCGTTTCTTCAAGGAACTCTTCTTTTGGAGGAACGTCGGACGGAGTAAGTAACGTCGTGAGCACCTTCATTGAAGTTTTACGCAGTTATGGTTGCCGTTACCTTATGTATAACTCTTGTGTCCCATGGTCCTCCGAGTAGATGTGGATCCCTACGAAAACTCTGACTAAGGCAACTGGTTTGATCAAGGGTCTGCAACATACTTTGAACCGTCTACGAACTCCCTGCGTAAACCCCTATAAGAACTAGGCCTAAGAGTAACCTAGGAATAAAAAGGGTGCCATTTTTGGTTTAAAGGGGCTTATAAGGGAACCTGAACCCAAAAAAAGGGAATAAGGGCCTACTCTAGGTCCTAGAGAACCGTATACAATTCGAACTGTGATATAAGCCTTCTTAAGGGAGTGGCGTTCGTGAACTTAGCGACCCTCCGGCGGTCATGCCGACGTCTCGTCTTGCGAGCCCCTCTTTTCAATCAGATTCCAACAGCGCGAAGCAAAAGACCAAGTGACCACAGTCAGATGCGCGGATTCGGGCAGTTTTGCCGCCGCGGAGCCAACAGCCATTGTCAGCACCATCTTCAAACAGCAAACGTGCAACCTCCGAGTGACCCAAAACTGATGCAAACATGAATGCTGTTGTGCCGCTATTGTCAACGTGGTCCGTGTTCGCACCAGCTTCCACAAGCAAACGCGCGACCTCCAAGTGACCATTCTGAGCAGCATGCATGAGGGCTGTCCTTCCGACACGGTCCCCACGGTCTTTATCAGCACCAGCTTTCAACAGATCACGTGCAACCTCCAAATGAGCGCAATGAGATGCGCGGATTAAAGCTGATTCGCCGTCATCGTCTCTGCAATCTTTGTCAGCATGGGCTTCCAGCAGCAAACGTGCAACTTCCAAGTGACCCATACCAGATGCGAGCATAAGTGCTGTTGTGCTCTTATCGTCAACGCAGTTTGTCCTAGCACCAGCTTCCAACAGTACAGGTGCCACCTCCAAGTGACCATGCTGAGCTGCGTGCATGAGGGCTGTCCACCCGACGCGGTCCCCACAGTCTCTGACAGGGGCCCAGCAGTCGGTATTAACACCAGCTTCCAGAAGTAAACGGACAACCTCTGAATGATTGTTCTGAGATGCGAGCAGTAAGCTTCGGGCACCACACAGCATGTGCTCGCCGTCCCGGAGAAGGCCGGCATCCAGCAAGAAATGTGCGGTTACAGCATGGTTCCGTCTAGCAGCATCTTCAAGATCTGCCTCAGCCAAACGTGAGATACTTCCGCTTGAAAGGCCGGAAATGGTCAGCAACACCAATTGCAAATCTATGCCTGCATCCACCTTGGCGTCATCAGTTAAGACCCTGCCGCCATGCAGGAGTTGCTGCAGATAAATCGGGAAGCCATACAGGTCGCGCAAATGCCCCTTCACAGCACCTGTGTCCGGGAAGTCTTCTGCCCTTATGGTGGCCAGCTCTTGCCCAGACGGTCTCCAAATACGAAGCATCGCGGAAGCAGCCGGCAACTTACACAAGCTCGCACCTGCGTAGTGAATGTTGTTTAAGCATGTTGCTGATTCTAGTGGGGAATACGTTGAGGTATCTTCCTGACTGGCTATCCTTATGCTGTAGTCCCTCAGTCCCGAGCCAAACTTTTGCACCGGTGACATACTTGAGCATCTGGACAGTGAGAAAGCTGTAAACAGGGTCCTAGTTGTCCAGTATCCAGGGGAGCTAAAGGCTAACTTTTGGGAGTGTATAGGGGCCATATAAGTCCTTTTTGGGTCCCTCAATAAAGGCATTTGTCAAGTCTGTGGGGCAGGGCACTTGGTCTAGCAGATTACAGGATTTGTGTTGGTGTTTATAGATGGCCAGCATGGCAGTTATGCAGAGCCTTTGTCTGCATTGAAAACTGCGCAGCTGCGGCATCTATAGCCAGAGATAGTCACCGAACCACACACCACACCAGAGTGAACCAGAAACCTATAGGCCCCAGACCAACCTGTGCATGCATCAAACCGAAGTTTCCTCGCTCTTGTAACAGTACTTGAAGAATCAACATAGGTTGGATGTAACTCGCCTACTCGGCCATTCAATATTTCAATATCGACCGCGAAGATATAGGTTCCTTACTGTTAAACAGCCCTCTCCAAAAAGGACCAACCCAACCAAACCGCGTAATTCTCGGGGTGGCTAAATATTCAGTTCCTTGCGCCTTCAGTGATTCCGGTGCACCCTGCAAACCTCAAGACCAATCGTTTCCAAACTTTCGCACTCGCAAAGAAAATCCACAGCCTTCGAACCCCAAGACCTCACAGCTCTACTTGCAGGATCATGGGACTTAGTAATAAGGGTTACAAACAGGGTAACTTTATTTATAACTAGTTCTAACCCCAATTAGGGCACTTAGAACCTTACTTACTAAGTCCCCTGATCCTCCAAGTAGACTCTAAAGCTCTTACCCAAACCCCGGGAGGCACTCAAAGTAGATCCACTAGTTTGGGACCCTCCGCCACCAAAGGTTATTTTATAAGAACCCCGCTAAGAGATCTACTTTCTAGATCCTCCCGAGGGTCTGGGGAATCCCAAAACTGAAGGCCCAAAGAAGTCCCAACAAATCCTGTGAAACCTCGAGAGCCTCAAACCTCAACAACCGAAACGCCGCTTGTGCCAAGACTCTGTATAAACGCCATATACTTGTGCACAAAAGCCCTTGTTCTAGATCCATTCTAGAACCCCAAAGCGCCCAAAAACCAGGAGCCCCTGATGGGTTAAGTGTAGGGGCTCGGGGTTTCGGGTTTAGTGTTGAGGGTACTTGGAGGATCATGGGACTTAGTAACTGGGTAACTGTAGTTAGAAGCAAGTGCTTGTGACTTCAGTTTAGGTACTTCTGACCTTACTTACTGGCTCCCATGATCCTCCAAGTGTGGCTTAGGTTTGAGGGTAAGAAACAAAAAGGGTCCAAAGGTTCAACAAATTAGGTACTCGGCTTTAGGATAGTAGTTATGTAGGTTAGGATTTTGGAGAGTATATTGATTATTGGGCACTTGGACCCTTCCCAGAACCCCGGGAGCAAAAAGTAGATCCCTTAATGGGGGTTCCCAGAAAGTACGTTTAGTAGCATAGGGCCCCAAATTAGGGGATCTACTTTCCAGATCCTCCCAGGGGTCTGGGTTGGGGAGTAGAGTAGGTAACCTTTAACCTGTTTTGGATAATCCCTATATAATCCCCATATAACCGAAAAGGTTACCCGTTAATTCCCCAAACCTGCGACAGAGGGCGCCTGTGCTCGCTGCAAGGGCGACTGGGAAGCTGCTTGAGCGACGCGGACGTTGTCCAGGCCTTCACTTGCACTGTTTAGGGTTTAGGGTTAGGGTTTAAGGTTTAGGGTTTAGGGTTTAGGGTTTAGGGTTAGGGTTTAGGGTTTAGGGTTTTCTACAGTGCCACGGCTGCCCCCCCCAGGTCATGTGTCCGCAGGGGGGGCGCCGTCCTTGCATTTGGTAGCCCACCCCAAACCGCCCCAATTCTTACCTTTCACGAGTTTAGGGTTTTTTTTACACGAAAAAACCCGGGTACTATTCTTCCATACCCCCCCCCCGAGGAAAATAAAAGTTGTATGTTCGCCGAGCCGCCAAGCGCGGATTCGAGCAGGCGCGAACGCAATTGTGTTGTCGTCGCTGCGAGTGACCGAGCCTTGGACCGAGGAGTCCCGGGGCGAAGTTTAGAGCAGCCACACGAAAAGAACGGTTCTGTTTTGCTGGACCCCGGATGGTTTAGAGCAGCCACACGAAAAAAACGGCGCTGTAAAAGAACGGTGCTGTTTTGCTGCAGAACGTGGCCCCGATCCCTTTGGGCACACACGAGCACTCGAGGGTCCATTTTTCGGGGGAGTGACCCCGGACCCGAGCAAAAGTCCAACGATTTTTGCCCGGGCTACCCCTTTGGGCACACATGCCCCGACCCCTTTTGGGCACACACGAGCACTCGAGGGTCCATTTTTCGGGGGAGTGACCCCGGACCCGAGCAAAAGTCCAACGATTTTTGCCCGGGCTACCCCTTTAGGCACACACGAGCACCCGAGGGTCCATTTTTTGATCCAGGTTCCGAGGAGGTGACAGGATTTAGGATCGGAGGGAGGTTTAGAGCAGGTACATGAAAAGAACGGTGCTGTTTTGCTGCAGAATGTGGCCTGGACCGCTTTGGCCACTCAGGGACACTGGGCGGTGTAGAGCAGGCACACGAAAGGAACGGTGCTGTTTTGCTGCAGAATGTGGCCTGGACCGCTTTGGCCACTCAGGGACACTGGGCGGTGTAGAGCAGGCACGCGAAAGGAACGGTGCTGTTTTGCTGCAGAATGTGGCCCCAACCCCCTTTGGGCACACACGAGCACTCGAGGGTCCATTTTTTGATCCGGGCTCCGAGGAGCACTCGAGGCTCCATTTTTCGGGGGAGTGACCCCGCACCAGAGCAAAAGTCCAACGATTTAGGGTAATATACTTTTGCTATAGTACTCCTCTAGGTGGCACCTTCTCTGAGTAGTACTGGGCTCGAAATGCAGATGGAGGCCCCTTGCATTTCTCGCTTTACTGTAGGATCTACCTTGGGCAGGACGACGCGCACCAGGTGCGCGTTTGGTTTAGGGTTAGGGTCCGGGTTTAGGGTTTAGGGTTTAGGGTCTAGGTTTAGGGTTTAGGGTTTAGCGTTTAAGGGTCCTTTAAGGAATCGACACGCTCAGTGTCCGTCCCTTTACGGGATCTATAGGGTTGGGTTAGTTTTATCATATCATGTTAGGAGCCAAGACCAAAAGCAACACAAACCAGCAGACCACTAAACATTCCTGGGTTGTGCTTTAAACTTTAAACCCTTTGAAAATTATTCCTGAATAGGTTCCCTTTATAAGGAAATAAGGGAAATTAAAAATTATCCCAAAAGCACAACTCAGGTTCTAGTTTTTATGGCGGGTTCTCAGCTTCAGGGGCCTTCTTTTGGAGCCCGCGCACATTTTGGAGTGGTTTGTAAGCATCAACCTACAACTTCTGGATAGATATCTTGCTTTCTTTCGCTGAAACTCCCACGTTTAGAGATCCACAGCCATCAATAGGGCCCCAAAAAAGCACATAAGCAAACATTAGGGTAGGGATGTCCCATATAAAATACCCATAAAATGCTTATGCTTATGTGCTTGTTGGGTCCCTAAATCAAAGGGTCGGCAACGTTGCTTGAGGAACGGGTGTTGCCAAAGGCTACGCTCTTGTGCTTGGGCATAGTAAGTAGGGTTCTACATGCCAAGCTTGGGGGGTCTTAAGAAATCAAGACTGTAGTTACCGTACTTATAGCCCCAGTTACTAAGTCTCCAAGTACTCCATGCCTTTGCGCATGACACAAGATGCCACTGCCTTGGCTGAAAGCTTCCCAGACCCCCGGGAGGATCTAGAAAGTAGAACCCCCATTAAGGGATCTACTTTTCGGATCCTCCCGGTGGTCTGGGTTGTCACGGTCCAGCGTAGTCCCCGCAATGTGATCATGAGTGCGAGCGAGGTCGATGTCACGCGGGAAGGTGTCCAGCGAAGCATCGGAAACCAGCTAAAAGTATGTCATACAGGGGCCTAAACATTAGCACGACTATTTTGGGGCTTCCTTCTTATTAGTATAGTATAACGGGCCCCAAAACCCTATTCTAATTCATAAGTTCCCTACATCATCCTTGACTATGGTCGCTGTTTGGAGTCAAATCTTGTATATAGTAAACAGCTCCATTTCTGGAATGAGAGGTCACCGTTCGCACTAACTTCGGGCCCGGTAGTAGTTAGAGGATCGTGGGACTGCGAAACTAAGGTCAGAAATACACTAACTACAAAGGTGTCCCCGAACCTAGAACCTTAGGCTCTGAAACCCTCCAAGACCCCCAGGAGGATCCCTAAATGGGGGTTCCTTGCCTACTACGGGTACTTTATAGGGACCCCATTCAGGGATCTACTTTTTGGATCCTTCCGGGGGTCTGGGTAGCCTTACGACCTGCTTTCCCTGAAACCCAAACCTTAAACCCTGAGCCCCAAAAGCCCTAAACCCCAAACCTAAAGGGTGTAGGGTTTAGGGTTGAGGGTTTAAGGTTTACGGATTTCCTGAAAGCACTGCTGGTCTGTGCTTGCCTAGGTCCTCCAGGCAGAAGATCATGTCCTTGCAGGATTTAGCTTAGCGAAGGAACGGTGCAAGGATGTCGGGTTTAGGCTTAGGTGTAGGGAAGCGTTTAGTGCTTTGGGTTTGGGGTGTGGGTTTCATGGGCTCTTGCTGAGGATACGAGAAGGGCTTCCAGAATGGGAACTTTGCTACTGGGGCTTACAATGTTGTATGGCAAGAAGCCTCCAGTAATCTTACCTTTGGTTAGTAGGGAATGGAGGAATGGGGTACAATTACTACGACGACGACGACGACGACTACTACTACTACTACTACTACTACTACCATTCCCTACTAACCAAAGGTAAGTAATCAGAGCAGAGTCTCGAGTTTGCTGTAGTCTAGTTATGCACAGGAGGCAGAAGAGGATATGTGAGTTTCCAAACATAGGGGACCCTAACGTAGTACCCTAAATAGTAGGATCCCTATTTTAAGGACCCCAAGATAAGGTACCCCGAATTTTCGGAAACTCCCATATTGCAGTAGTACGATCAAACCAAACCGTACTAAACCCTTTGACTTCTCGTTCTTCAGACCTCTGCATTGTTGCTAGGATGCTCAGTAACCTAGGAATAACAAGGGCTCCCTTTGTGATATGGGGTAACTTAGTAAGGAACCTAGGACTACAAAAAGTGAAGAAGGGTACTACTGGGCATCCTTTTTAGGGTTCCCGTATATTGGTTTCCGCAGGTAAGCCCTTGAAAAGGCAGGCTAGTGATACTCTATAGTTGCTGAGAGTTCATATGCCACAAGAAGCTTAAACTTTACCCTAAACCAAAAACCCTAAACCCCCAAACCCCAAACTCAGCGGCCAGTGAGACCTTTATTTCAGATCCGAGTAGCTCGCAACACTCGCTCCCGCTGTCCGTCACCGCCGGCTCGGAAATGGACGACGATGCTCCTCGGTGCTAATCGTCTCGGTAACTAGTGTTCTAGGATTCCCCTTATGGGGTTTCCTTAAAGGAGAGAGAGAGAGAGAGAGAGAGAGAGAGAGAGAGAGATATATATATATATATATTTATATATCTATATATATATATATATGTATATGTATATGGGTGGTTGTCAAAATTAGGACCCCTTTTTGGGTGCCTACTATAGTACGGCACCTAATATTTAGGGTACCCGAAAAGGAACGCTAATTTCGACAACCACCCACCATATATATATATATATATATGTATAATGTATATGGCCTGTACGAGCGGGGTTTAGGGAATACTTAGAAGGATCAGAGCAGGAAGCCTCAGACTCCTTTCTAAGGGTTCCTGTAAAAGGGCTCCCTGAAGTTAAGAGCTTCTGCCACGGGCTCCTTTAAAGGGTAATATAGGGCTTGCTTTAGGGTTCAGGGGTTTAGGCTCGACACATGAACGGAAGGGACCCCACAAGTATGTAGAATAATCCCCTTCTATGGGTATTGGGCCATTATTTTACCTACTCTGGGGGGGGTTCGGTAAACACAAGACCCTATAAATTCCAAACCCAACAGAAGCGCAAACTCTCACCCCGAAGCCCGATCATTTCAGAAACAGACCCCCTCAGTTCTGTTTAAACGGGAACCTTCCGCCCAAGAAGGAAAGGAAACAGCAGTTTCTATTTATTTATTTCTTTCTTGCGGGGCGAAACTGGACACCCCAACCCTTCAAAGGATCAAAACGGATCTGGAATTCTCACTCCCCCTCCAAAAGTGTTTTATGGCTTCTGTCAAGGTGTCCTGAACCCCAACAAACCGACATGTTTGATGACGTATACACGGAGGTCATACTAAAAAATAGCGCCCTGGAGTATCAGGTTACCCATAGGCCCCATAGAAGTTCCTTTTTGGGATTCATATTTAGAATCCTGTAGAGTAATAATCCCAAAAAGGAACTACTATGGGGCCTTACTGCAAGGCTCATCACCTGGATCCTTTGAAGGGCCTGGCGACCTGGACACTGGAGGCTTCTGGTAGTAGCTAGGCACTGGGTGGAGCTATGAGTACCCTAAACGAATCCCTACCTGGGGACATACTACGTAGGTTGGGTACGGCCCCCACTCAGTAATGGTTGAATAGTATTCATTACATAGATATATTGGGACCTTAATAGTAGCCCTATTATAGACTCTTACTGTATGGGGGCAGTACCTGATACATAGGTTACATACTAAGCCCTCCAAAATCAAGTACTGTGGGCCCTGGACCGGAGGCGACCCCCCCAACGCTTCCCCAGGCACAGCTCTCGTGCGCCGGGAGCCGAGGTGATCTCTGCAGAGCCTTACATTGGAGGCGTCTGGCAGATATGACATCCTTACAACATGCCCTTAAACGAGGAGGCTTTCGATGGTTCGGGTACGGCTTGGGGTGCAGTGCTTTGCTGAATTACAACGGTGATGAGTCTTTTCAGCATTGCGGGACTTTGTAAAGGCTTGCCTACTATACGGAAGGAACTATCTGCATTGATTATGTGTATACACACACATACACATGCACATGCACATACACATGCACATGCACATGCACATGCACATGCGCATGCACATACAAATACACTCCACCTACATATGTACATACGTACATACATGCATACAGCCACACTCCTGCACATGCTGTACTGAAACCGCACACATACTGTAGGCGGCATGTTTTGGCGCAAGGCAGCTCAAGTCTGTGCTGACACTTGCATACACAAAGACATACAAACATACATGCATAAATACATGCATGCATGCACACGGCTGCCAGCTGCAAGGTTTCCTTAGCTTGGGACTTAAAGTTTAGGTTTTAAACATTTTCGGGTTTCGGGTTTAGGGTTTTGGCTTAAAGTGTTTATTGCTTAGTTGTGAAGGTACCTGGCGCCCCAAGAGAACCTCACTCATAGTTTCGGATCGATTATGTGTTCTCAGTTGCTAGCTCCTGACCTTCTAAGGCATTCAGGGTCCCTAATACTCCGAAAAGGGCTTGAGGTATGGTGTAATACAATCACAAAGAAAAGAACATCCACTATTCTGACCTCTGTCCTATCTGGTTTCTGACAGGTCTGTGCGGGGTCCGGGTATTCGGCGCCAAGCAGCCTACAGCGGCGTGTTTCTGCAGGGCTGTCAAGGCGGCGCTTGGTGCCGAGCCCATTTCGGGATCCTGTGGATGGAACTAGGGTTTAGGATTTTAGGGCTTTAGGGTTTAAGGTTTTAGGGTTTTAGGGTTTAGGGTTTTAGGGCTTCGGGTTCAGGGTTTAAGGTTTTAGGGTTTTAGGGTTTAGGGTTTTAGGGCTTCGGGTTCAGGGTTTAAGGTTTAGGGTTTAGGGCTTCGGGGTTTAGGGTGTAGGGTTAGGTGACGGGACGCAGCAACGAGGGTTCTAGAAAATGATAGCTATAGTTGTTTCGCCGACCCCCCCCCCCCCCCCCCCCCCCCCCTCCCACCCACTTCCCAAGCCGAATCTGTGTGACTGCGCACACTTTTGCACATGCGGGCCCCAAAACCGTCATCTGTCACGAGGATCGCGCCCCAAAGACGCCGGATCAGTGTGAGGCCGCCAAAACCGCCAATTGTCACGAGGACTGCGTTCCCTGACAGGCCCGATCCCTTTGACAGTTGGCCGATTGCAACCTTCTGACAATTGCCCCCGAAGCGACAACTGCCACGAAGATAGTGGCCCTACGATCAACAAAGCGATAATCAGTACCAGGCATGTGGGCAGAAGACACCCGACGACAAACCAATCAAACATTAAGATGCTTGAGTTAATGATGATGGTGATCATCGTCCCCATCATCATCATTATTATCATCATAGGGATGAGTATACCAAACACCCAAAGCAAACCTACAAACCTAAAAACGCAGGGGCACACCATTCCACAGGGGGGAAGGGTGGAACCACCCCAACCAGACCCACCCCCGCCCACATCACACCACAGGGAGGGGGAAGCAACCCACCACCACACCACACCACAGCACACCACAGTGGGGAGGAGGGGGAGGAACCATTGGGGGGGGGAGGGGGGGGGGGACGGCCGAACCGGGATCATATATATATATATATATATATATATATATATATATAACTATGCCTTACTAGTTTCATAGGGCCCTTAAGGGGGTGAGGGGGGATGCTGAGGGGGCCTACCACCTCATTGCGAAGCGGCTCCACTTCTAATGCTAAACCCAACGCAGTCGACGGAGAAGCGAAGTCGTTTAGACTCCTCAGAATCGGCCCCCTTGACCTGGCTAATACAAAAAAACGGGCCTTAAGTGCTTACTCTACAAGGTTCCGAACCCTGCTGAATGACTACTTACTCAGTCCCCCAAAGCGCTTCGTAGAAACCACACTGAAAGCCCCTTGGGAGCTTGCAAAGGGCTCCCCCTACTCCAACTGCATCCCCCGACCCGCGAAGTCAGACCAGACTGTTTGGGCACGTGGACCCTCAGAGCGCTCACTGATACGCAAGAGTTGATTTCATTCCACCACTGCTCAAGTTGATTGCGCCTTAAGCCTCCAAGTAAAGCTTCAGCCCCTGCTGTGTTCCAGTACCGGGCCGGCCACACCAGGATCAGGTCCATTATTCGTGCATCGCAGCACACGAATCACTCCGTTGCTTCAGGGCTTGATTAGCAAAAAATGCAAACACCCTAACCGGCGCCCCTCATGTTAGGATCTTCAATCTGGAACCATGAGTAGCAAGGGAGGCAAAGACTGAAGAAGGGTCTACCTCAGGTCTTAAAAGGTCTTAAAGAGGTTTAGATGATTGATGCGTTCCAGGAACACCCATCTGCGATAGCGTCCTCTGTTGAAGCTGCTATAGCCAGGATGGTCGCCTGCACAAGGTTTGTTCGTGTGAAGATTGCTAACCGGAGCGTATTCTGACATCCCAAAGTTGGTCGAATTCCTGCACCCGTGAGCTCCTGCATCAGCCTTGTGCCACCTTTACGATTGAAATTCTATGTCTACGTCCAAACATCGGGCACTGCAAAATGGAGATTGTTTAACAGTGTTATTGCCTCTTTAAGCTGAGAACGATACTTGCCAGAAAAATGCGAATTCTCTCATGCGTCTGCGAGCATCTCTGCGGTCCCTTCAACATGCGCGTTAAATGCGGAATGTAGTGGGCGCGGAGTTCAGTGAAGGTTCAATGTTTCGGAAACTGAACAGCCGCACGCCCGATGGAGGGGTATGCATTGATTCACTCCAACCCGCGCCAGCCGTAGACCCTACAGCCGAAACCCAAAATCTGGAAAACCTTGTGCAGCTGAACAACCATTGTTGAAACTCCTTTCGAATCTACACTCTCCCTTAAGGGTCCAAGTACTTCCATTTTGGGTACCAAATGCCATACATCAGGAATACTTGGACCATTGGGGTTTGTGTTCTGCATCGCACTGCAAACTGGCAGTGGTGATCTGCTTGTGAAGATACCAAAATAAACCAGAAAGGTACATCTTGGAAGCTCCACGTTCATTCCCTTGGCCTCGAACTGTAGTGTCGCAATGACTTTTTAAACTCAGCCGTCGAGACCAAGCCTACAACCAACCCTTCCTAGTAACCCTCCCGAAACCCTGAAGCCTAAACCTGAAAACCTGAAGCCGTAAATCCTAACCCTCGATCCACAAACGCCCCTAAACCCTTACCTGCCTTGCCTAACTCCAAATAACCTAAGGCTTCTAGGACTTGTACAAGGAACCTGAAAAACGTGGGGGGTTGCTGGTCCAGGTCAACCCGAACCCCCTTCATGTGGGATCCCTTGCTTGCATTTTGCCTGCAGTCTTTGGAAGCTTCAGGATTGTGAAACTGTGAAGATGTGGTTGGTTCGGTGCTTTTCAGGGTTTAGGCTACCCTAATCCTAAATTTTGAGTTTCAGCACGGTTCAGATTTTTAAAATGTTTGTGGCTTGTCTGAGTCAACACAGGGAAGAGGACATCCAAGGTTTTGTTTCATAACCAAACCCTCATATTCGATTGTTCAAGACAAGTTCCTTGACGCGCATTCAGGTCACTGGGTATTGGCTGCAAGCCAACAAAGCTGCAGAAGCCAGTGACGCCATCGAACATCAAAGTCTCATGATGCAAGATCGGGTTGTCAAAATTACACATGCGTGCCACGTTTGGACATGCTACAGGCCGCGGTCATCGCACGGTGCGTCCATGCCATATCTGCTCTTAGGGCCAGGCATTCCAGGTGCTGCCGCTGGTTTTGACTGCAAAACCTTCTGTACTTGGAGGTTCATGGGACTTAGTAAGTAAGGTTATAAGTATTGTAATTGGGGTTATAAGTAATTATAGCTATAGTTACCCTATTTATGACCCCAATTACTAAGTCACATGATCCTCCAAGTATAGAACCCCATTCGACCCCTTCAGACCATACTCCTGAATCCTAAACCCTAAACCATCCTAAACCTGTTGGGATTATTCCAAATAAAGACCTGTTTCTTTGCATCCTGGTCCCGACGAATATTGGCTAAGTAGGCTCCAAGTACACGTAAGGCTACCATGTTGAAATTGACCGCGTTTAGGGTACTGAGATCTCCACTTTCGACCTACTTACCGTCCCCCGTCCCTCCAAGCAAGTTTCCAGGACGCTTACATTACCCCTTTAGACCCCTTAAAGGGTCCCGATAACGCCCTAAACTCCTAAACCCTAACTTACTCAGTCCCATGATCCTCCAAATTCTAAGCTCGAGATGCCGCCACACTGGCTCAGGCTCAGGAGCACCCAAGTTAGCCACGTTCAATCAACAAGCAGTTTAGGGTAGGGCTGAAGGGCTGAGGGTTTAAGCGTTTAGGGTCGGAACGTTCAGAGTTTGAGGGTTTAGGGTTCAAGGGTTTCAGGGGCTAAGGGTTTAGGGCTTAAGGGTTTGGACCCAAGTTAATCTAGGAACCTGATTAAGAAACCTTGGGCCTTTATTAGGGTTCCTTATATGAATCCTTCTATTTTGGGGAGGTTATAGGCCCAGGCTTTCTTAATCAGGTTCCTACGATAGGCACGATCATTCAACAAGTAGTTTAGGGTTGGAGGGCTCTGAGGTTAAGGGTTTACTTGGAGGATCGGTTGGGACTTAGCAAGTAAGGGGCTCCTTAAAGGGATCTTTTGGGTTCCTTAAGGGGGTCTATAGGGTTTAGTTTAGGGTTTAGGATCTACTTGGAGGATCATGGGACTTAGTAAGTAAGGTTATAACTACCCTGATCCGGGTTATAAGTAGTTATAACTATAGTTACCCTATTTATAACCCCAATTACTAAGTCCCATGATCCTCCAAGTAGGGCTCAAAGGTTTAAGCGAAAAAGGACTAGGGTTAAAAGTTCAGAGTCTGAAGGTTTAGGGTTTAACGGGCTAAGGGTTTAGGGCCCAAGGGTTTGGGGTTGAGGGGCTTAAGGTTTTCGGGTTCAAGTTGTCTAGGGTTGTGATATCCTAGGATACCCAGTAACCTAAGAATAAAAAGGCCTCTCTTTTTGGTATTGGGTAACTTTATAAGGAACCTAGGACTACAAAAAGGGAATAAGGGTACTACTGGGCATCCTAGACGGCGTCTAGGGTCCAAGGCAGATCCTGATTAAGAACTCTCGTTCTTGCTGGCGGTGATACTGGGATTCCTTGTTACGGTCCTTCTTAGGGGAAGGTTTTTTGCTTGATCAGGGGGTCTACAATCTACAAGTGGGTAGTTGTCAAAGTTGGGGCCCCTTTTGGGGAACCCTAAAATATTAGGTGCCGTATTATGTCAAGGACCCAAAAAAGGACCCTAATTTTCTGGGTTGGCCTTTAACACCCTGAAAAGTATTTGTATATAGGGTCCCTTGTAAACCCAAATAAGGAAAACAAAAAATGTCCCAACATCCTACCAAAATTTTGACAACCACCCAAGTTGTAAAAAAGCTGCCCCAAGAACCCAAACGCCATGGTAATTTTTGCCTGAGGGCTTCCGAAACCTCGGTGTACCTTTAAAGGGCCTATAAGGGTTCCTTTAAGGGATCTAAAGTGTTCTATAAAGGTTTTAAGGTTTAGAGCTTCCGAAAATTCGGGGTACCTGATTTTGGTGTTCTTACAATCAGGATCCTACTATTTAGGGTCCTAACTAGATCAGGGTCCCCTATTTTCGGAAACTCCCAGAATACCAATAGAGGGAAAAGTAACTAGAT